TAGCTACAAAGAGAGAGTCTGTTCCCACCCACATCCCACCCGGCCCAGCACAGGACCTGCCCCCAATCTGGTCTGGGAGATGTTTGTCAAGCGAATAAATGAGGAATTACCTGCCCCTTTATAGCCACCTGACTGTTTACCCTCCTCCCAGAATGAGGATGGAGATGCAGGGTCTCAAGCTGAGCCAAAGCCACCCTTCCCAGCCTCAGAGAACCCCCCTCCTCCCTGTTCCATCTCCACCCCCCTCTGCCCTCCCCACCGGGCACTGAAGGCATTCCTAGGTACCTAGGTTGGAAGGTGTAGGGGACACCAGTTGTCGTAGTCTGAGCTTGGGACGTGGAGTGAAAGGTTCTGAATTCAAGATGAGTTCTGCTCTGTGGTCTTGGAACAGTTACTCAACTTCTCTGAGCCTCGATGAATACCAGTCCCTCAAGGATACAATGAGACAAGAGTAAGGGCAGTGCTTTGTTAGGGCTCCGCAGCTGCCCTAGGGGAGGGCTGGGGGAAGTCCACCATACCCTCCTTCTCAGGTTTAGAAGTGCGGGGAGACGTCCTTCTAGCACCTGGAATGTGGGAGGCAGACACTCCCTGAGGGTCACCCAGCCTCACTCTCCCATTTTGCAGATGAGGGAAAAATTGAGGCCCAGAGAGATACCTACCCCAGCCCAGGGCACTTTCTGGGATGCCAGCTGCCTCCCAGATGGTTATGGGGCTGATTGCTCCTGTCTGCTACCTCAGCCCTGCAGTCCTTTCGAGCAAAATTGTTGAGAGGGACATTCCCTCCGGAGGTCACCACTATGGGCGTGGCTAAACCGCAGTGACCACACCCCGTGGTTAGGGAACATCTAAGCTACAGCTCTGTACTCATATCCATGCGACCAGTGCACACACTTCACAGAACGGCGCCTCCCCGTCACGCCCTCCACACATGGAGACAGTTTCTGTTCTGTCCTGGTTCATTTATTTAAGTGCTGAATGCCGCCACCACCGTGCTGACTTCGCGACCTGGACTTTAATAAACACCAGTCGAGGTAACCCCAGGCCCATGAGAAACAGCAATAATTCGCTCTGCTGTGTGAGAACTAACATCTCCTGGTGCTCGGCGCTGGGTACCCGGCACTGTGCTAATTGCTTCAAATGCGTTGACTCATCACCCCTCATTGCAGCCCTGGGAGCTGGGTGCGCCGATCGAGCTGGGGGATGGGGGTTGGGGTCAAAGTAGCAAGTGGGATGTGCTCAGGCTATTCTCCTGAGCTCCTGCAGCCGATCACCAACCCCAGGGACCACAGGAAGTGGGAAAGCATCCAGCATCTGCACAGGTGGCGCCAAAGGAAGCCCGCTGGGCTCCAAAATTCCTTTCATAGGTCAATACGTATCACAGACATTCATTGGACACTTGGCTATGTGTGTGCTAGGCCTGATACTTTATAGCTTCATTCATCTCACAACAACTGTAAGATGCAGGTACTGTTGATGTCCCCATTATGCAGAGGAGAATGGTGAGGCACAGAGATCACACAGCCAGTGCAGAGGGGACCCCAGGGGGTCTACATCAGGAGCCCATGCTCCGAGCCACCACTCTCAACAGCTCTCCTTCCTCCATCCAGAATCTCCTTTCCGCCCTTCCTCTTTCTTTGAGATCTCTCATCTCCAGGAGCATCTTCCCTCTCCCTCTCTCTCCCTCCCCCTGCCTCTCCACTTCTCCCTTCTCTCTCTCACCTCCTCTCTCCCGGTCTCTCTCTTTCACACACACTCTCTCTCGTA